ACCAGCCACTAGATGCGTGGTTCTCATATTGATCTTGGTGGAAATGACTGCCCCGAAACTCTTAGCCCAGAGAGAAATGTCGGCGTTTTGTGTATCGGTTCCCAGCGGAAGTACCCCCGAGAAAACAAGGACGACACCGCCAAGCACGCGGTGCTTGATGCGTGGCATGATGTCCTTCACATCCGGCACCAACTTCAGGTCAATATCTTTCTCCTTGGACGTTCCCCGCTCTCCTCTCAGGGCTGCCACTCTTCCACCAAGCGCCCGCGACCGCTTCTTATCATAGTCCTCGAAGAAATGCCTATGTATCTGCTCCAGTCGTTCCTCCAGGAGGAAGAGCTCCCGATCGTTATCCTCCAATAAATGATGTCGGTGTTTGGTCGAATCTTGAGTGTCTTCCATGCTCGAGGCAGAATCACCGCTTTCTGCCGCCTCATCCTCCGCATCCAGCTCTTTCTGCTTCTGCAACAATGGGCGGTCCTCAACCTGGTGCATGATTGTTTCCTCTTGCGCGACGCTCTGCTCTCGGAGTAATCTTGGATTGTCCCCACCGCCCATGGTCACTAGTTGCTCCAGCGTCGAAACCTCAGCTGCAGGCTTGGCGATTGCACCATTCGGAGGAGGTTGTTGCATTGGTAGCTCCTTCGTTCCTTTCGCTTCCTGTTCCGTAGGCTTGGTAGCTCCCCCTAACTCCTGCTTCTTCGGAAGGAAACTGGAGTTGATATCTCCAATTCCAACAAAAAAATCGTAGGGAGAAACCTTGATCAGATTAGGGCTCCATCGCCAGACGTCTCCACGGTCGTCGATGATGACCACCATCTTTGTATCTACCGGAAATAATCGTTGGAGATTCTTAGCCGTCAGGCTCCCGCTTTCGTCGCGGCTGAGGATGCGATCACCAAATAGCTTACGGTCCGGATCTATAATGCCAGCTATATGTTGCGCATAGGCTCTAGTACCCATGGTGTAAATGTGCAACTCGAAAAGCTCTGAGACATTCTGCAAGAACGACTCGAGTCCAGGTCGCAGCTTGACGTAGTACCAGCAACCGCGCATGCCCGGGCCGTCATCAACTAATTGGAAAGCTCGCACGTCACTCAGGGCTTCGTGATTAGGATTGTCCTTGTCTTCCATCCATTCTCCGACAGTAGGGTCAACTGTGGCATGGATAATAGTCTGATCCAAATCAACGACGAGAGACAGCTTCCTATTCGCCAACAAGCGACGCTTCGCATCTTCCTCCACACGCGTGGCCTCTTTTTCGCTTACGGTAAGGGCAGTATTATCATGAACCATCCGGATCGGCGCGCGTGTGGAGTCCATGACCTCAGTATTATATGTTGCCCTGTCGTGATGAAGAACAAAATGGTCAGTTCCCGTTATCTCGGCAGTATCCTACACAAATAAGCACAATGTCACTTACTCGGTCATATCTTTTCCGCACTCGGCGCAAAGGCCTCCAAATTGAACCTCGTGGGCGCATGGTTCGTCAATCTCCACGACGTCAATACTACAGTGGATATCAGCACCATGTCCAGCAGATACGCGTTCTTTTCCCAGATAGAGGGTGCCAAGGGACTTACGGTACTTCAATAACATCTCCCTTGGCTATTTTCCACTGAACCACTTCACCGTCAACGGTCGACTCGAACTTCGTGGGAAATTTGCGCTGAACCTCGACCTTGTTGCCCAGCCCATCACCCTCGGTAACAGTTGTCTGGTAAACATACCAGAACAAGGCCTCGTCCCTCTCAACCGTGTCGCCCGGCTGTTTGAGCAGCGACGTGACGGTGATCGGGTAATGGAGGCTGGGCGGTAATCGAAGAAGCATGCTCTTGTATCGGGCAGGCGAGGTTGCCTCTCGCTAGTCTCTTATCCAACCCCGGCAAACCCTTACCTTCTATAATATAGCTATTATAAGAAGGAAGGATGATTCCCAGGGCGATTCCGATCGCGAGCGAAACAGGTGTGCCTGACCGCTATGGATCCATACCCGAAGCGCCAAACAAGAGAGAGGAAATTCAGACGGAATGTGTACGCAAGAGGTAACAGTAGAGAATTTTTGTTTACAAGACGTGTGTCGCAGGATGCGACGTCAGAAAAAGCCCGAACCTCACGGACGTAGAGGACGGGAAGCAATGTAGCTCAGGCGATTGCCACGAGATGACGCGACCCAAAAGCAATACAGAAACAGGCTTTGTTCCAACTGTGGATTGGAATTGATGGCGCAGAAAAGGTGGGAGTTATATTCAAAGTGATGATTGTTTCCTGTCAAATTGGAGGTAAAAGAGAAGATGATGGGATGAGAGAAAGGAACGACGTTGGTGATGGATGAGAGAAATAATGGGCGTCCGCTGTTGTTGCAGGCAAGACCAAGAGCGGCCGGAAAGCCAAGGCAACAAAGCGAGGCTCACCCAAGTCCGTCAAAGAGTCGTGTGGCCAAGCGGGGGCGGCAAATGCCTGATTGGGTTTAGCTTACATAGCTTCTGGCCCAGACCACACATGAGATGAACGATCTAGCGTATGCTTTACTGCAGCTACGTCTTATGTTATAGCCAAATCCGCGCATAGTAATCAAAGTTGGCCAAAAAAGAAAATCAGCTATCAATTACAGGTATGAGATCCCCATTAAGCAAAACAATGAATTGCAAGTATCTGCTTGGAAGACTCGATTTGTTCATCTTCCTGCAGCTAATCCCAAGCATGTAGAGAGTTGAAAACAAACTAAGCTACCGCAATGAAGCTATATACGTATCGTCGTTCTGTCACAGTTTATATAGCGCGGCGGCTGCAAACAGACACACATTACCTGGCCTTAGCCAGACCAACAGCGTTGTTACCAAGGTCGTAGACGCTGTACCACTTCCGCAGGAAAGCGTCTCCCAGAATAGCAAGGGGACCAACAGGCTCGGGGAAGTCCATGCCCATGAAGGAGCTGATGCAGGAGCCCTGGACCTCTAGGGTGTAGTCATAGGGCCCAATGGTGAAATTGTAGCCAGCCAAGGTGAAAGTGAGATCGGGCAGGGAGTCACGCTTGTCGCATTCAATAGTATACTGGCCAGTGAAGCCCTTCTTGGCACCAATCTCCTTGTTGCTAATGGAAAAATGTCAGATCAAGCAAGATTCCAATATGAAACATTTTCGACAACTTACAGCAGGTCAGCAAGAGTGGATGGGAGGGCAATAAGAGAAGTGCCGGTGTCAAGAATGACACCAGTGTTCTCAAGCTCAGCGACGTTGTCACCAAGAGCGATGGCATCGAAATCAACCTCCCAGTACGCCTTTCGGCGGAGAGGAATCTTGATCAGTTCACCGGTGTAGTGGTCCTTGTCAACACCACCGAAGGAGGCCTCGGAGTTGTCGCCATCCTTGTTTGTGTCTCCCAGGTAGAAGGCGAAGACGGGCGCATCCAGGAGTCCCTGGTTCAGCATGTTATAGAAAGGAGGAACAATCTTGTTGACGGAAATGGTGTCGTAGCCCAATCCGAGAATACCGTCAAATCGGCCAAAGGCAAAAGCAAGACCAGGCTCATTGGTGGCCTCAGCAAAGTCCTGCTTCTCGACCTTCAAATCACCAATCTGGAGGGTGTCCTGAGACACAAACCCGCTGAGCTCGCCGGATCCGTACTTGATGGAAAACTCGCTGCCGTTCTTCTTGTAGGTGGATGAGGCAGACGAATCGTACTTGCTGTGCAGAAAGCAGGCGATGGAGGTACAGTCTGAACCAGGAACCCACAGGTTCGAGCTACCAGTGTCAAGGACAACCTTGAACTTCTGCGGGGGAGTGCCAAGTGTAATCTCGGAGAAGTCTGTAAGACGACAGTTAGTGATGTCTACAGGAAATTACCGCTGCTTAACTCTGATGTCTTACATTGTGCGTTCAAAAAGTTATCAACCAACACGTCGTGGCGGCTCATATCATTGAGCGAGTTTTCCTCCAGGAGCTCCTGGTGGACATTGGGACGGATACCCATGTATTTCTGACCCAGGGCGCGAACATGAGCGTCAATGTTATGGGTGTACTGCAGCTTTTCATCAGCTCTCATCCGTTCCCCAGTGTCTCACTTCAAAATCATGAGATAATTGAGGGGCTTTCACGGTCACTTACGAGCTGTTCATCAAGAGGAACCTTGTTAAGCTTCAGTTTGTGAACGGCGGCCGAGGCGTAGCCCAACAGCACAGAGGCTGTGAGCAAGGAGGTGGATTTCATGACTGGTAAAAGCGCGGGAATAATCTAATAAAGAGAATAGACTGAAACAACAGAAAGAACGTACAGTCTTCGATGGTGAAGACGATGAAGAGAGAAGAGAGAGATAGTTAAGAGACGAAGAGTCGGTAGGCAGTTAAGGTAGATGGAACGGGAGCTGACGCCTGGGAAGCGGAGGTGATGTGGATGACTGGTTGCGGAGCTACGCCCCTGCTTTGGATCCGTAAATCAACGTGATCCAACTGCGTCACCGGGGCTGGGGAGGGGATCGTCACGGGAGTCGGATCAATTGATAAGCACGTCCGGCCTGGTTGCTACATACGTACGACGGCAAGGTACTGCCCTTGATTACTAGTACAACCCATCATGCTTTCTCTCTCGAACTTGCCGTTCTGATGGTGAATTAGTGTCCAAGTATCTCCCAATGGATGTCATGTATCTGCGAGTTGGCTTGTTCTGTACTTGTTACTCTAACTTGCTTGATGATGTAACTTCAGTTCTTAGTCCTGGTGCCTGCGTACTAGATCATGTAAGCCATTCTTGGCGTCAGCGATGGCACAATCTGGTTTTGCCTATGAAGGTGGCGAATGCTAAAGTACCTAGGCACTCACGTGTACTGTACTACTTCTACTGGCAAAAGGATTGTTATCCTGGAGAATAATGTTTCTCCAAAAAATGCATCTTTCGCTGTACTACATGTAGATTGCCTAATGTTGAGGGTTCGATACATGATTATTCTTTCGCCTGTTGCGGGTCCCATTTCCACCTCATAACTACCAATCATTGTACATAATCTACCGGTAGAATTCGAGCCTGTAACGCATTAGTTAGAACTGGTGGTGAGAAAGATTTGAATGCAGGGAAGAGCATACCTGTCCGCTTCCTGGCCGGTCTTGACCTGAGCAGCATAGGCATCCTCGAGGTCAGACTGGATGATATTGTAGCGATTCTTGCGAACAGCACGTAGTCCAGCTTCCTGCATGATAGCGGCAATAACAGCACCGGAGAGTGGCTCGTTTCGTACGATAAGTGAATCCAGATCGACCTCTGGGGACAAAGACATCTTCGATGCGATAGTGGTGAAAATCAGTCGACGCTCCCGTCGGTCACGCAGCGACGGAAACTCAATCTTACGATCCAGACGACCTGGACGCAAGAGGGCCGGATCCAGAGTATCCGCTCGGTTGGTGGCCATGATGACCTTCACATTGCTAGTCTGCTCGAAGCCGTCCATCTGATTGAGGAGCTCAAGCAGGATACGCTGGACTTCACGATCGGCACCAGTCTGGGCATCGAATCGTTTGGTAGCAATTGCATCGATTTCGTCAATGAAGATAATGGCGGGTGAGTTCTCACGAGCCATTCTGAACACGTCACGAACCATGCGAGGACCTTCTCCCAAGTATTTCTGGACAAACTCCGAACCATTCACACGAATGAAGCTGGCAGTTGTGCTGTTTGCCACAGCTTTGACCAACATCGTCTTACCAGTACCGGGAGGGCCGTAAAGTAGAACACCACGAGGGGGATCAATACCTTAAGTAGTATAAGCAAACCAGCACTAGATATTCCTCTCAATGTCTCCGACTCACCAATCTGTTTGTAAAGATCGAAATGCGTCAATGGTAGCTCGACAGCCTCCCTAATCTCCTGCTTCTGCATATCCAATCCACCGACGTCGGCGTAAGTGACATCTGGCTTTTCGTTCTCGCCGAGCATGGCGATGGACGAGTCTGCCTCCGGAGGGAGAATATCGACAAGGGCATTGGAATGACGGTGCAGGGCGACAGAGGAGGATGGCTTGAGTTTCTCGCGATCGAGTGTGGAAAGGATACGAACGACATAATTCGAGCCAGTTGACGACTGCACGATACCGGTGCTACGAAATTTCAGTCAGTATATCTCCTTTCGTCATCCTCTTGATGCCATACTTCTGATCGATAGCTTCCATAAATTGTCCGATAACGAGAGGGACGCTCTGTATCCGTTTGATCTCCTCCTGTGCGCGGACGAGCTCTCGCTTCAAACTCCTGCGATCAGACGGATCATTAGCTACTCCAGCTGTTGGCAATGATATGGAGAATACGTTGTGACTTACCTTTGTTCATCCTTAATGTACTCTTCTTGAAGCTGGATGTATCTGCTTTGGGTTAGTACCTGATGATAACAGGTCTGACTCTCTTGGAAGGTGCCCTACTCTAAGTGTCTTTGAAGTCTCTTCAGAGTTGCGTACTCATCACCTCCATCTGCATCTGTGCCTTCGAGGGAGTCTATATTAGGGATGGTATCAAACGGCACCGATTTGTTAGGCGTGACGTTGGTCGCCGAACTCTCCACGGCGACGTCTCCCATCATGAATGGAGGCGTTTGAAGATTGGGTGTGGATGGCTGCAGAAGTCGGTTGAAAGCTTTTAGGGGGGGGGAAAGCAGTAAGGATAAGTCTTGCGTCAAGTAGAAAGGGGCGTTGTTTGTGTATTGAGTCCGTCTTCTCGGTTGGAGCTTTCGTATGAATAATAATGAAGGCCGGCTCACATACCTACCAAGAGCTCAAGCTGTCGTCACGTGATTGTGAAGCTTGGCGCCGCCAGAGAGCTATCGAACATCTGGGAATCCGATCTCATCAAGTTCTTTATTCATCTTTTTGTGTGTACCTAAGTTCTTGAAAGCAAATGTGTTTACTGCATATATATGTCTGTATTGTCAGATTCGCACTCGCGCTTTTTTGTATGCAGGACCATGGCCATTTTGTCCAGCTCGGGTAGCTCTCTAGGACTATATATAAATCAGGATGCTCCAGCGTCCAGCAATAAGCAAAAATCCTATGGAAGACGCATAATTTACACATCTTCAACCACAACATAACTTAGCTATCTACGGTAATGCCATGGCAGGACCAAAGCTCTTTCTACTTGTTGATCCTCAGGATACTCCAAAGCAATCTAGACAGCCTAACCGCCTGCAGCACCTGTCTCCAATCCTTTCAGCACAAATTGAAGTGACAAAGAACGTAATCGATGCGCTAAGACTTGAGACCCACAACGTCCCTATGTATATCCTCGAATGCTATGTTTGCACATAGACTTTCAGCTAACGTCCGTCGAAGGAGTGGCATGAGATCGAAGAGCAACTAGCAAACAGATTCATGAACAAAGTTGTACCTGAAGAACCCGCCTGCAGGACTCAAAATGACTTACAATCGCGTACAAGTCTAAATTTCACGGACTGGAATACGATCGGGTATCTATGAGATATGCGGCCATCGAGAAGCGCTAGTGGAATTATTATTACTACTAGTAGTAGACTACTCCGCACTGTACTTTTGTTACACAATTGCTGTCATTTGAAGTGTCTAGATAGGTGAGAATGCAACACAGTATGCCTATTTGTGTCGTGGACCTGAAGTAGAGTACGGGATACAGGAGCTTATCTAAAGTCGAAAGACGATATCATGGAAACGGGGCTGATTATTGTCATGATCGAATGCTTTTTTGAGTGGGGTTAGCATCAAAAAGGATCAAGGCATGTACGGAGTGGTCTAGGTAGCGTCAGGATGGTCAACCTCGTAGGAGGAATGCACTCATTTATCCAACAGTCGACACTCGGATATAACCAGATGGGTACTTGACTATGTCCTGACCAGTCACCTTGCTCGAAATTGCGCATATAACGACGTATGACCGTTATTTTTCGGCACCTTTCAGGCCAACTAGGGCATTATTACTCTCATTCCCTCGAAGTATAAGTATCTAGTTCCTGTTCCTTTGCTCTGCGTCTCATCATTCTCCCTTGTTCTTCACCTCATTATATCGTATCTTGTTGACTATAGCACCATTTCTCCAAAGTCAACTGGCAGTAGATACCGGCTGCTGGTCACCATGCGTCTTCTTTGACCTCCCATCGACTACGCCTCTATAACTATGGTTGTCATAACAGCCCCACCAGCCGGAGTTTGCTGAAACTCCTTGTCATACTCCGTATACGTTGTGATCATGTATCCCGGGAGGACCAAGGCCTAGCAATTTGCATGAGCGATGTGCACATTTGTGCCTCCAATATCAAATGCTGCCATGGTCCTGATAGGGAAACTGATAGAAATCAGCAACAACCGTGAGCGATCAAGTCTCGGCGCCACAAATTTGGACCAATCTTGCAAAATATCAACGCCTATCTTGCTCCTATTCCTGATCGGGTGCTAACTAACCCGAGTATGGCAGCAACCGGATCTAGGGACACTTCTGATGAAGTCAAAACCTTAAAAAGAACGGTGGACTTGACAGGAGATGAATTCAATGAATTCAGCATGGGAGTATCTCACTCCAGAGCATATCACTCTCTTTTAATTAGTTTCAAGAAAGTGACAGTGCAATCCTTAAGTGCTGGAGCAAGAAGATCTTGGGCATACCTGGAGTCTCTGGACTGCCGGATATGGAACAGCGGCATTCCACATGACGTGCTTACCTAATCAGGCCAGTGGCATTATTGCACCCTGATCCGTTCGTTGCTTGTTCTTGCTGCTTCTCTTTCTGCCGTTTTGTTCGACCCCCTTTTGCCGACTAACTGACTGGCCTCTCTTCCGTTGCTACTGCTGGTAAAATAACCTACTGGAAGACTAAGGTACCCCCAGTACCCGTACGTACCTCTTTTTGTCTGGTTTCAATATCATCCCTTCCATCTCTCTTATCTTTGGACTGCTACTGCTGAACACTCCTCTTACGCTTGTTCCATTCCTGTCTTCCCACGCCTCCACTTTGTCTGCCTTTTCAAGCGGCCCCCCTTCCCCTCATCGGAATACAGGAAGGAATTTCATTAAAATAAAATAAAATTACGGCTCTCCTGTGCACTGCTTTACTTGGATCTGGTACGTTCAATACCAACCGCCCACCCACTTGACTTATGCCATTGGATTGTGCCTGCTTTGTCCAGAGCACACTTCACATGTGTCGCCACGCACTACTGGCCATCCAATCTGGCCATTCTTCGGGACCAGTCACACACGTTGCAATCCCCATCCTGTGGTGCTCATAGTTCCAGCGCTTCTTTGGCTTATTATTTCATCTTATTGATTAAAGTCTTCATTACTCTTGTATTCTGTTGTTACCGTTTTTTATTCATCCTGGTGTTACAGCTTAGTTGCTCTTTACTTACACTGATGGTTGTGCCTCATTGACAGTTCCATCCCTGTTTTCTGCCTTTGCGCTCCGGCGCCTGGAATCCCGTGACTTCCCATCGTCCTCCTTGCACTCTCTCAAGCCTCTCAACCGCTGCTATTTCGGGACCGGTGTAATCGTACGCTTACGAGTCGGCATCTAAGTTATCCAGCCTTGTCGGTATGTACAAAACCTTTGCGCTATTTTTACTCCCTCAGTACCGGTCTTGTTCCGTGTCTTCATTACTTGCAGCTCTTGCGACGTATGTTTCTGATAGTCTGTTCTGCGTGGTCGTTGCTTCTCAAATGCTCGTGGCGCAGATTCAAAGCGCGACTCAACCACAACCCCCGACGCGTCTATAGCCCCCACCTTGCCCTTTCTGTGATGACTTTCGTCAATAGTTGCCTCATCTGTTGCATCATTGATTTTCATGTTGATTTCGTCGCGAGACTGACAGTTGCTTATTAATGATGACCGAGCCTGTTTTGTGCGTGTGTCACATTCGCTGACGATCATCGCCTTGCAGATGGGTTGGTAAGACCACACGACATGAATGCCTGGCTAGCCGACGCCTCGAACCTCCAGAGCCATGACAATGGTGCCTTTAATCAAACAACAATAGATCCTTCTACGGCATTTCTCCATGCATCTCCCACGCCGCCAGACCCCAGTCAGTTTCAGCGCATGTTCAATGGAGTACCGCGAAATGCCTCCCCCGGATTCCACAACCCTAACCAGGTGATTCCGTCCAAGAGATCACGACCAGAGGATGGCCTCTCAATGTCACCCAGGCAAGCGCCTGGCGGGCTTTCCGTATCGCGATCTCAGACGCCTCATCAAGTGCCTTTCCCTGGTTACCAGGGGCCTGCGAATGGCGCCCAGCAATTCCCTTCCCATGCCGCGCCGTACCAACATTTCCAGCAAGGGACTCCGACTAATGTCACTCAGTCCCCCATTATGCAAGACTTTGACCAGCACGGCGTGCAGAGACTGGGAACGGCCTCTCCTAGCCCATTCTCGCCCGCTGGCCCCCATGTCGGCCCTCATATGTCCCCGTCGCAATCAGATCATCCAAGTAGAGTCAACACACCGCAAAACAGCTCATTTATACCAGGTCAGCCTTTCCCTCAAGGGATGGGCCCGCAATTTGCACCCGCTCCTACGATGACTTCTGCTGCTGTTCAAGCGCCCATGCAAGCGAACTTTAGCAGTATGCCGCAATATCAGCAAGCGATGGCCGCTCAACAGCAGCGACTGCACGCGTTGCAGATGCAGAGCCAAGGTCGTCCTATGAATATGAATCCTGCGATGGCAGGACGACCCGTGGCAGCGGGGATGAACGCCATGGCAAACCCTCAGCAAATGGCAGCCATTAGGCAAATGCAGCAAAATATGGCGAAACCACCCAATCCTGAGGGCTTTATGAGGTCGTTGCAGAAATTTATGATGTCGCGCAATCTGCCTTTGGATCCGAATCCCATAGTTTGTGGTCGCCCTATCAATTTGGTCCAGCTCTATGCGACCGTCATGAAACTGGGTGGGTCAAAGAAGGTAAGCGCTGCAAACATGTGGCCTGTAATAGCCCAACAGCTTCAGTTCCCTCCGATGCAATTTCCTATGGCTGTACAGGAGATTCGGGAGCACTATCAAAGGAACCTCGCTGCGTACGAACAGGCTTTTCTCAGCACTCAACAGAAGCAGTTTGCAGATCAAATGCAGCAAAACTCGCTGCCGCGACAGCCAAGCGATCCCTCGGCTCTCCAGTTTCAGTCGCCAACAGTCAAACAGGGCCAAGGGTTCGAAGTACCTCAACCAGTTGGTGCCTCTCCTGGTACCATGTCTGTAGCAAACAATGCGCAGCAAAACATTCCAAATGGCTTCGCGACCCCGACCCAAGTCAAAGCGTCGAACAAACAACAACAGCATCGACTAAGTGTATCCCGTCAGTCTCAGCCTCCAGCAACCCCACAGGATTCTACAGGCCAGTTACCAAACCAGTCCCCTGCTCAGTCAACAAAACCTCTAGGGGCAACACCGGGAAAGTCGGCGAAGACATTCGAGCAAKCCTCTGATCAACCTTTGAAACATCCGATACAAGATCCTTTCAAACCGATGGTTTTGCCGGAGAGCAGCTTGCACGGTCCGATAGCTTTGGATGAAATGTACCAGCTTGGGGAAGAAATAACTAGGTTGAAACCAAACGTGCCTTCCTTTGCCGAGCTTGGCGTTATTGACATTCACGCGCTCACAATGAGCATCAAGTCTGGTATTCATGCGGAGATGCGCCTGGCGCTGGATACTCTTGTATCCCTCTCTTGCGAACCAGCCGTCCAAATCTCGCTCGATAATTGCGAAGATTTGATTGATAGCTTGATCGAATGTGCCGAGGACCAAGCTGATCTGCTTGCTGAACACGCCGTGGAGGTTTCGGATGTGATGTTACTGCCCTCGTACGAGGAGGTTACTCGTGGATGTCAGGCAGAATGGACTTCTCTTGCCGACGTCCCCGAGTTTGGAAGCCTTGAATATGAGCTCGATCGGGCTGTTGACAGACTCATCTGCGTCACCACAATATTGCGAAACCTTTCCTTCACTGAATCGAACTTTGGGTTATTATCAACTGCCCCCGTTGTACAGTTCATATCAACCATTGTCCGATACTTAGGGACTCGAAACATGCTTCTTCGAACCCATCAAAACACGTTGGATTTCATGAAGGACGCTGTCATCTATTTGAGCAATTTGGCACATGTGATTCAGTTACCAAGCAAAGAGGAGGCCCTTTGTCTGTTGCATTTTCTTTTGTCGTTCGCCCCATTTCCTCCTCCAACGTTGGGTCCAGACGGCGTCATGTTTACATCCTACAACGCCTCGATTCACAAATACACTCCCGCCGCCGTCGACAGCTTAGCTAAGCTCCTGGCCAGAGATGACCCGAACAGGACGTTCTTTAAAGCAATATTCTCCGGTGATGGAGCGCCCTGTTCACAGCATGAATTGCTGACCCGTGCTTTCGGACTAGCTATTTGTCCAGTCCCCGATCAACTGCGGAAACATCTAGCCATAGCGGACGCCCGCAAGGTATTCCTCATGCAGGGATTATTGGCAGCCGACATTCTTTCTTCGTTTGCTGATGGTACGTTGGCCAAACAATGGCTTGAATCGATCGACGGGTTCGCTATTCATCTTCTGCGGCTCTCATGTTTGCTGAGCACTGAACGTGTCCCTCCCCCTAATACCAATTCTCGCCAGTCGCATGCTGCCCGAGGCCAGGCGGAGGCAGAGGCCTCCGCGTATAGTTCTATCATCAATCGAGGTTTAACAATCCTGTGTCGACTAGCGGAGAAGTCGAAACTCGCTGACAATAGTTCCGCGCGGAATTTTCCGTCTGGAATCATCCCGAAAAAAGAGAGCCTACTTGGTGCATTGTTGATGCCGAACGTTGACCCTGGCGTTGTTCGGCAGCTGATCTCTTATGCTCGTTTAGCCGAGTGAAATGCGTTAAACCTAATGGAATACTCCTCCGCTTCTTGCTCTCTTTCAGCTTCAAACTCCCTTTTATTGGATATTCAAGCGACCGCAGCGGGCTTGCCATCTTGCAAAGCCAGTTTTGTTCATTCTCGTCATGCCTTCTTCTGATCTCGATGAGGACTCACTCATACCTGTTCCATGCCTTTTTTGTATCTGTTCGGCGCCGGTGGGAGAAATATTGTGGGGCGTGACTGTGTATCATTCTGTCTATCACTGTAGAATACCCTCGGGCAAAATAATCATTCATGATGTCTATATGGGTAAATACACCATCGTTGTCATCATCTCAAAACATTCATTCTCCGTTCGTAATGACCTACATATGCCTGGTTCTCTTCGCCTCGCGTTAAAGGAGGCCACAAGCTTCTCCGCAAGTAAATTGGTCATCGTTCTCACATGGAACTGGAAGGACCCTGCAGAACATATTAAGAGCCTCGCCTGAGTTCTCACTGGTACTAGATKCTGAAGCTGCTTTTATGTGGCCCAATTGATTAATTCCAGAAGCATATGTCTTTTCGTCTGATTTGACTGGACTATTGGACATGTACTAGAGTGTAAATAGTACAAATAGCCACACAACCGAGAAATGGCAGAGATGAGATCAGATGAGGAAAGATAGAAAGAGGAGGACAATCCCCAGAGTACAGCAAAAGCCAGAGCCTTCAATGACAGCAATGAGAAACCCGCAACACGGACACCAGCAAGAGAATCGTACAATGCAAAAAAGGGACATGAAACGAAACGACGATCCAAGGACAGTGAAACGCGATAAACAAGTAGCCCATTCATGTAACCATCAAAGATTCAGTTCCTGTTCATCTTGGAGTTTCCATGGGCCCCTTCCCTCCGCAAAACAACATTTCACTTCTCTTCTTCGATCCTTTTGGTAGTGCGTTTGAAACTGAAGCTTGAAATAGCTCTTTTCCATGGAATATGTAAATCGGTAATCGATTTTCGAGTAGATGATGATAATAGATAAAGGGGAACGGAAAGGTAGTCGTTCATGCTGAAGGAGCCGATACGTCACTGCTTAGAAGTTACGCTCCAGAAGGAACTTTTGAATCTCAGGCTTCCGCCAGCCCTACATGGTGGTATCAATTAGCGATTGGATGGATAGAGCAGAAAGACAGCACTGGACCGCGCGAGGTATATCCACTGGCATACCTTGACGATAATATGGCCATTGAGACGGTTGATAGTGACGTCCGGGCTTTTTGGCGAGCGAGGGTCGCCGCTTTCAAGACCGAGATACCGCGCAAGGTCGCTCCTCAATGCTTCTAGATCACCTTCCGTCTTCTGAATCTTGGTCTGTTGCTTGGTACCGCCAGCTTTTGTGACGAGGTACACGGGGAGTTGGTTTGATGCTGTGCGACGAATGAAATATGGGAGGTTTGTGAGTTGCAGGTTTGCACCAGGAGGAGGAACGGCTCCTGTTGTTGCTGAAGGGGTTTCTTTCAGAGTCTGGGATTGCCGTTTGAGCTGAACCAGGAACGTCCGAGACTGATGGGCGGAAGGCTTTGATTTGGAGTGTTGAGCGGTTCTCAATGAGTGAACTGCAGTAACACACGTCAGTACTGTCACGTCCAATCTGATTCCCACATCTGCTTCTCTGTTTCCGTTCATGTTTTTGCTATAGCTCGCTTATGGATAGAAACGCATGGGACAGGCGGATTCAACGGAGACTTACGAGAAGAGATCGATCTAGACTGTGAAGATAATGTGGAGAAAGGGCTACATGTCCTCGACGAAGCGACAAACTGTGAAGCGTTGAGGAAGAGGGGAGCTGCAGTCGACTGCTTGCGAACAGCCGAGCAGACTGGCAGAGACTGCAAGAAAGATGCCATCGGCTGCGGATATGGAAAAACGCGGCCTGCAATGGATGAAACTCTGGCAATCCCGACGCGTGGATGTGATGAAGAGCCCCGACCACAAATGGGTTCTATCACAGGGGATGTGAGCGCGACGTACGATCGAAGAGAGGTCCTACAGAAATGTCAAACATCATCCTACAACATACGATTTCTTGCTTTCTGCGCGGAGACCTGTTGCTAGTCCCAAAGAGGGCTAGCGCGCCCACCAGCCCTCCCGCCCACATTTTCGCCAGCGCAAAGAAACCGCCGCACACTTTCTTTGGCACGGGACGAAAGAAGAGACAGAGAGAGAGAGACTTCAACACAGTCCTCGCTGCTGTTCCCACTTCATATAGCCCGCGCTTTCCTGTCTTCCTGCTGTCCATCCTACACTAACATGGCAGCCAACGTTCCCCCTTCCGCTGAGACTCTCAGCAGTGGTGCCGCGGCCCACCCTTCGAACACCGCTGAAGAAATCGCCAACCAATACAACCTGCTTCCCAAGTTGATCCCCTATCTCGACCGTCACCTCGTCTTTCCTCTGCTTGAATTCAGTTCGGGCCAAGATGACGAGAAGGAAGTTGTCCGTGCGAAGTATGAGCTTTTGAAGCACACGAACATGACCGACTATGTTGCCAATCTCTGGAAGGAGATCAACAACTCCGACGCCATTCCCGATGAGTTCGTGAAGAAGAGGGAGGAGGTTCTCGCCAAGTTGCAACAGTACGAGGAGGAGAGCGCCAAGATCACTCAGCTGCTGCAGGATGAGAGCGTCGTGGCCAACCTGCGAAGCGACAAGGTCGCCAACTTAAAGTTCCTCGAGGAACAGCACGGAGTGACCATTGAAATGGTCAACAGCCTTTACGACTACGGCCGGTTCCAGTACAGCTGCGGCAGCTACGGTAATGCGGCAGAGCTCCTCTATCAGTTCCGTGTTCTTTCGACGGATAACGACAAAGTCGCCTCGGCTACATGGGGTAAGTTCGCTTCGGAGATCCTCACCACCAGCTGGGAGGCTGCGATGGAGGAAGTCCAGAAGGTCAAAGATTCGATTGAGACCCGTCTATTCAACAACCCTCTGGGTCAGCTCCAGAACCGCTCCTGGCTGATTCACTGGTCTCTTTTCCCCTTCTTCAACCATGATCCCGCTCGCGATGTCCTGACCGATCTCTTCTTCTCCCCCGCCTACATCAACACCATCCAGACCAACTGCCCCTGGATCCTGCGGTACCTTGCCGCGGCAGTTATCACCAACCGTAACCGCGCACACAAGAGCAGCAGTGTATACCAGAAGCAATTGAAGGACTTGGTCCGTGTGGTGCGCCAGGAGGGTTATGAGTACAACGACCCTATCACCGACTTCGTCAAGGCTCTCTACGTTGATTTCGATTTCGAAGAGGCTCAGAAGAAGCTGGGCGAGGCCGAGGATGTGCTCCGAAGTGACTTCTTCCTTGTTTCCACCGCTGATGCCTTTGTCGAGGCTGCCCGGCACCTCATCTCCGAGAGCTACTGCAAGATCCACCAGCGGATTGATATCAAGTATGTAACAGTATCTTAAATTTGAACGCAGGCGGCGGACAACTGACATTGGAAAAATAGGGATCTTTCCACCCGTCTCGGCTTGAACCAGGATGAGGGCGAGAAGTGGATTGTCAACCTGATCCGCGACACACGTGTTGATGCCAAGATCGACTACAAGGAGGGCACCGTGATCATGAATCACCCTCCCCAGTCTGTGTACCAGCAGGTCATCGAGAGGACCAAGGGTGCTTTCTTCCGGACACAAGTGCTGAGGTTCGTCTGCTTATTGTATCCACAATACTGACAAATTACTAATTTTTATTCTCTCACAGCGCGGCTGTTGCGAAATAAAGTAAAGAATTCGATTTACGCCCCGAAAACAAAATTCATCCTTTTTCCTTCCTCCGAATGGTTCTGTTCATGTTAAAAATTCCCACGATCTGTGGGTTTCTCGTGTGATGGGACCAAGCAGAGTGGCATCAGGCTGGCGTTCAGGTGGTCCACTTTTCATGTTCCCCGTAATTTCTCCTCCTTTCTATTTTACGTTGTCAGTTTCAGATATCTCTCTTGGGCCTCCTGCTTGACTCTCTTTGTGTTTCTGTGATGGTGAGAAAAGAAAACGAGTGGCCATAGATCGAATCTTTGACATTTCTAAGGGTCTAGAAGCGAGGGAAGAACCGAAAGGGAAGCCACCTCGAGTCCGTATTCCGGGACTGGGATTTTACTTCAGAGCCGGGCGAATGGCCGATTGTAACGATTGATGAGAGTCATGTTGTTTCGCATGGTCTCAGAGCTTTGTGCTATGTTGATTGATCCATTGATATATGCTGTTACGAATGGTCTATAGACAGATGAGTGAAATTCAGTGTCAACCTTCCGGTTGCCTCAAGTCATTCCTGTATTCATTCCATTGCCTATGGCCTTATCAGCTTGCTGGACGGCCCAGGTGACCGTGAAGAATGAAACTGCCTTTGAAGAGGGATGTTCTCGTGTATTTGCAGAAAGGAAGAGGCCAATGGAGTACGTCTCTGGGACGAACGAAGGCGATCCACAAGCCAAAGCAACCCGAAAAATGAATTGTAGTCGAGACCAGTTGTTAATATATGGCCCGATTTCAAATCTCACGAGTTGCTCGAACGAAAGACGGATGTGACATAACGCTTGCAGCGAAGATGCCGGTCTTGATTAAGAGGAAATAGTAGGTGGCAAATGGACTGGAGCGCTCAACTGGGGTATATTGTGAAAAGCAAAAGCCAGGAGACAATCCAAACGAATATGCTCGAAGATATCACTGGCTCTAAACCGGTGAAAGTCTATTTTCAATCGAATGATTCGGAATCATCGCCCACGCCGCCCTCCGTGATCAACGGGCTGCCTGCGATAACTAAAGGTGCGCACCGGTACTATCTCGTTGATGTAAGGCTCTGACTCCCTGCAGGAACTGGGTGCAAGGATATCTCCTGTCATCCGAAGGGATTCCTGCCGTTCGTACTCTCGTGACATGATGGCCAGATCATTGATTTGTTCCTGTGGGATCATGTTAGCGGCAGTGCAGTAGGAAAGCAATGCTAGAAGGGAGCAGAGACCCGCGTCAAAGGCACACCATTGATGAGATAGCCGTCGCGCCCCTGTTTGTATCAAGCTCGCGGGTTAGGCAGACTCTTCCTATTTATCACGTTCTCCAACTAAGTAATCGTTTACCTGGTAAGTATAAGGTCTGACAGTTGCCGATGGTCCAAGGAAATACTGGATATGGCCCAGCACAATATGTCTTGAGAGACCATAGCCTGGTAGCCAATATTGCTGGACTTGTGACATCTTCAAAATGGTTTGTCCTTCTAGATTGAACGCTTCGAGGTATATAAGCTTGATTGGATGCTCGCGTAGGATGGCTGTCTAGGCAAGGTGATGATGGCACGAAGCAGGTACATGAATGGACGACGAGTGTATATATAACCCCAGACCGACTCTACTCATGTAAGGGATAACGGCGAGATAAATACGAAGATCGTCTGCATGAGTCCGAAGGAATTGATTGAAGTTCGAGATGCTCGCTGCAATACAATCGTACTCGCTTAGTGAAGCTGATCAGCATTCCCATTTGCAACCACTATAGAATCTTCGAGACGAGATCACACTTACAGTAGTCCAGAACTGAGTATCCGTCACGAGCAGAGTGATAAGATGGCTGGAAAGCCAATTTGGCTCATTGTGCTCATCGGATCCCGGAAGGACCGCCTCACTCTTTGAGAGGACGAGATTCAACCCCTTTTCGCACCGGTAAAACAAAAGTGAGGCTTGATTTTGACGAAGACTAATACCGTTCGCAAATCGAAGCAAGCTGCACCCATGCCATGCGCTCCTAGGCCGCTGCGCCCAGGGCCGGATCCTATTCCTTAATCGTGCGTCTCAATTTCAAGATCCTTGGACTAGATTGCGGTGAACATGCGGCACCAAATTGGTCTGTTAGGATGTTGTCGTGGCTCCATGCGCTGACATCCTAGGACCTGCCCAGGTAGTGGAATATTTATCGTAACATTCCGAAACCTTCTTCTAACTTTCCCCAGCTCAAAAAGGGCGCTTAGTATTCCGAGTTTAAATGTATATTGAGATCAAAGCTGGTCGTAAACAGACGGGTCCGGGTCCCACTGATCATCGTCGTGAGATCCGAGAGCTATTATCTATGCGCAGTGGATTTGTTGTACACGCAGACATGAGAGCAATGCCACGCTCGACCCATTTCTTGTATCTGCGAAAAGAGCCAGTGCATGTTAGACAAATCAAAGCAGCAGCTGGAATTCTAGGAGGAACTTCACTCTCTCAACTGACCCCGACAGTAGGTAACTAAGGTATAGACATGCCGAGTCCGAGAACGCGTGGACCAGTTGCCAACAACTATATTGATCCAGAACCGAGAAGAAGGGCACTGCATTGTATGCACAAGGCCGATTCAGGAAGCGATGCTCGACGTCTTCCATGCAGTGTCCCCCGCAACTCATATTTATCGATGGCTCCGTCTTGCAAACAGACCTCCCAGGTTTCGTTCTTAAGAATCCGCGGAAACGATCCGAGACCCTTCAGCAACAAAACAAAATAATAACGATTTTGGATTCGGTGACTTCTCATACGACAGTCCATCAGTTCATCAGTCGACTCCTAAGCGCTCATCGATGCAATGTATCCAACAAGGATCCGCCCTTGCGGCCAATGAAACAGTCTGAAGCAGAACGTTACAAGACTTTCCGCTGGGACTTGGTGGCCTCCACCCAGCTACGTACATGGGAAGGGCCCGTCGGCTGATTTTATCTGGCTACTTCTTGCGTAGATGCAGCTACTAAAACACCAGTGTGGCCGGAGAGCGACCAGCCAACCATTGCATACCGTGGCCATTGGGACGCATGGTCAACGACTCCATTTCGCACCAGTTCGAGTATGCCACACTATCACAGCGTCATTGCTGCATCTAGACTTGCCTTTAACTGATGCTGTGTGCGTTCAGGTGCTTCCTGAATGGCTCGGCATGGACCTTGCGCATACCCACTATGGCAGCCAAGGCAGCTATTTCTATAAATGTCTTCCCAGACTTGCCCTGACGATCACGGCTTGCGCCGTGGGTAACCTTTGACTACAATTGCAGCTTCCACTGAAAGAAGAGAGTGATGGCCGCTCTCGTCGAGCTCAAAGAAAGCGAATGCAGCGAGCTTTTTTCAGGCCGTATAAGCCCAAGGTGGATTGTAGTCATACAATCTCCGATGAAGCTGCTTCACTTGCTCTGGCGAGTTCGAGACCTTAATCTTCAAGCAACCCCACGCACGAGGAATCAGCGAACTGCCCGATACTACTGGAACAGGGCCCATATTTGCTTCAGGCACCGAGCACGATCCTGCTTCGGAGATCTTTGGCAACTGGAACCTACTAAGTGGACCAGTTGAGCAAACCAGAGGCTCCGGCCTCCTTTACAACATCAAGGCTGGGAATACTGAGTACCTTGCGCTATTCAGGTATCAAGGCGAAGTGCTGTAGTCCACCCGACAAAGACATTCTGTCTTCTGATTCATATCCAAATTGGTTGGAGTGTCAATACTACAGCTTATCACTCGTCCCCATTCAATTGGAATAAGCAAGTTTCGCGACAGCACCTGCTGATCTGTTGAGCTTCATCACGTCCAGACGTTTTGCTGACTATGCTAATTCCCGTCATCAACCTAATAAGAATTCACACACATAGCACAGTATATCATTTCAAGACATTTTCATGTAAAATGACTTACATCCTGCACTGATCCAATGGCTCTTCAAGTTGACATGAAGCGAAGTTGAGGCGTGCATTTGTCAAAGCAATAGGACCCACTTGACTCCAAGCATTCTTGATATTCAATGAAACTAGAACCACATAATGTCTGCGCCTCCCATTTATCGCGGCAACCCTTAGTCAACTCGTGTTTCGAGCTGCCAGCTTATTCGCCTTCAGAGAAATCTCAAACAGCATGAATGAGGCTTCAAGAGGCAACAAGAACTTGCTCGAGGCTTTGAGAACCTTTGTGACATTATGTTAAATGGTTTCCCTCGCCGATCTTTCGGAGACTGAAAGTGAGGCGCTGTGGCAAATCACTCCAAAGAAGTCAGCTACCCCCATGTGTGTCGTGTGTCGACTGAGACAAGAGCAAAGTACAACGAGAAAGCACAAGATTCTACAGTTAGATTATTCGAGTCAGAACCAGTAGACTGAATACGAGGGTGAACCTGAGCATAGAACGCAGTATGATCTCGAATCATTATGGTCTATTCATTTCGTAACTCGTCCCGACTATATCTCTTATGGCTCTCATATCGATACAACATGTTTAGGGTAGTCTATTGGGGAGGAACGTAAGGGTGGACAAGCATCTCGCTGAACCTGTAGACATTGTTAGTCATTGTTTTCAACGAGTATTGGATGGAGGACTGACTTTTCCAGCTTCTCCTTTCCTCTAACTTCCTCAACCAGTAATGGCATCCGGACAACGTTGAAATCTTCGTAAAGCTCCTCGATTTGCTCAAGGTACTTCTTCTGCATCTTCCTGCGAGCATTGCACTGCTCGCATCCGCTTCCTTCCTTGGGGAACAGAAGCTGGTTGACCACAATGGCATGGGTATCGATACCGTAGCTCGTGAGTTCCTGGATCATACGCTCCGTCTCGTACAGAGACAGGAATTCGGCGATGCAGACACAGACGAAAGTGGTCATGTCGGGGTTCTTAAACTGCGTATTCACCTCGCTAATAGTCTCCCGCAGAGACTCCATCTTTTGGAGGAGCTCGTCGATGTTCTGTCCGCCTGGGAGGCCGCCACGAGCACCGAGGATCGAGTTCAGCATTGGTCCGAATTGAGACGATAGCTGAGAGAGCTTCGCGAGGGCCTTCTCAAGGACGGTAGGAAATTGAAGGAAGCGAAGGGTGTGTCCGGTTGGTGCAGTGTCGAACACAATAACCTCATAAGACAGAGACTTGACTTGCTTCAAGACTTCGGCGAAGGACATGGCTTCGTCGACACCGGGAATCTACAGACGTTGATTGTTAGCATGGACACACGCTCCTAGTAATGTCAAAAGTTGCACATACGCTGAAAGCCAGATCCTGCATCATGTTACCCATACCCAGTCCGGCCATGGGATCATCGCCCTGCGACTCCCCACTAGCGAGGAGATCCTGGATGCTGCCGTTCGGGTCAATCTCCATAGCGCTAAGGTTGGAGTATCCATCGACCAGCCTGGCCTCCTTTCCAAACTTCTGCCCGAATGCATCGCTCAGGTTGTGTGCGGGGTCGGTCGAGATGAGCAGGACAGATTTGCGGACTTTCGCTAGCTGGATCGCGAGCGAGCATGATGTTGTTGTCTTCCCGACACCTCCTTTACCACCAACGAAGATCCATCGCAAGGTCTTCTGGCTGAGAATGGACTGGAGCGTTGGCTCCATGAGATCGTCGCCGTGCACGACCGCGGTCGAAGACATTTTGAAGAATTCGGAAATTGAGAATCCGGCACGCAGAAATCTATCGCAACTTAATGCAGTGAGAAGATGCTCGGATTCTTTGGAAAGGGGTAATTTGCTTGTTCGGTGAGCAGTGATGGGGCCTGAATTTACACGTATTGTTTCCCCGCAGAAGCCAAAAGTTTTGATTGTGGTGTGTTGAAGCTTCCGAGAAATGGGCTCGAAAGAGATTTGTGTCGCAGGGACCTGGCTTGAATCGTATCGACAGACAAGCAAGCAAACACAGAAAAAGAAAACTATTTACGACCGTCAAAGCACCGTCAAAGTGGTAGAATCATCTGGACGCTCCAGCCATCAACGGCGGGGCACGTGCCGGAGCGTTCTGCCTGAGGCCCCAACTTCTATGCAATGGGATGATCTCAACTTTACTCAAGATCTAATTGAGTCGACATAATAGACCTAGTGCCACCTTCATCTATGCGCCCGTTGTAATGGCTCTCGGAGCTCCAGGAGCAATGGTTATGTAGCCAAATCTCATATTCCGCACAAAAGCCACAAGGTCAACGCCCCACTGAAGGTATACTCCGTATGGAGTACAGCTGTCGGTGCTCTCCGATGCGTGAGAAGCGGAGATAGGAAAAGACCCCATGTGCCAACAGATGGTCATGCTCTACTTCTTGAGAAAAGTTTCTCACACTTGCTTCTCCGAACCTCGTTCTAAATCTACTTAATGGACGTTGGGAACCAACAGATCCAGTCAACAGACCAATTGGTTAAAGCCAGCGACCGTCTTGCCCTCTACCAGAAACAGCTCCTTCAAGCCTCAAGCCCATCACCACAAACCACATCTTCCAGTCGCAGTATCTCAACCGCCGCACAGGCAGCTAGCCAAATGTCTCGCGATCCCATCACCTGCCATGTCCTGAACACTCTGACGGGTACCCCCGCCGCAGATCTCCCAGTAACTCTGACATTCCTCGGGAGCAGCAATGGCAGCAGCACCAGCCAAAGTCCCATCACGTTCAGCGCAACGACGGACGCAGACGGACGTGTGAAGAGCTGGACTGCCACCGCCGCGACGACTACGACAGTTTTCGCGGTACTTTCGTCGCTCCCGACTGCGGATAGCAAGACGAACTGGGCGGTGCGTTTTGACGTTGGGCCCTGGTATGAAGCGCAGGGGATCGAGAGCTTCTGGCCGGAGGTGGAGGTGAAGTTTACAGTGAAGGGACGTGGACGGGAGGGAGAGGAGGGTTGGCGCCACTACCATGTGCCGGTGCTGCTGGGGCCTTGGAACTATTCTACTTATCGGGGTTCTTAAAACGAGGCCGTTGATGGTTTGATAGTGATGGAAGACAAGGTGTGGATCATTAGTTCCTCTTTTCCCCTTTTCCTGATTGTGGAGCGCGCACAGTGACGTATCTGGAGAAGCTCTAAAAAGATGAAACATGGACTACCAGAGGCACTCCGTCAATATCTTCAAGATGGGGTATTTTTAAATGCTGCAATTGAATATGTATTTCCGGCGAGCTGGAATTTACAAGTAGATGAACTCGATTTATAAAATAAGTCATCCTGGATATGATATAAACAAAGGTGCAGCGAGAATGCTTAAATTAGAATCAATGGTCTGGTCAAGTTGTTAACTGCGCTGCTTTGTGACTTGTGACGCTGCTCCTCCATCCGATCGCCAACTTAGCTAAGTGAGCATCCACACGCAGCAGTTCTCGAGCATTGCAAGCACTAGAAGCTATCGGTCAACCTACTACTACTCCAAAGTCAAGCATAGATATGCAACGAAACCAGGTGGACATTCGAATGAAGGCAAATAAATGCTATCTGGGAGAAATAGAGTCGACGCTGGGTTACACGAATTTAGGATGAGACTCATATTCCACAATTGCAAGGTAATAGCTGCATGGCAAAATTAAACCAAGCGAGTAATCCAAGATACCGACAGGCTGTACAGAGTAGCTAGTGATGCAACCCCAACTCCAGCCAAGTATTTTCCGAATATCTTGAGATCCATCAAGAGATCGTCAGTTGGATGGTTGGAATAGAGTATATGCTCGAATTTCCCTGGTAAGCGATACTGTTCGTTGATTTCCGAGACTAGACAGACGGGTAGCGTGGCCACGGGCCACGCTGAGCATTTCCCCATTCGCATCCAGTTTGTGATGCCACAACAGGATTCGTGGACTTAGCTACCTTGCCTAGAGTGAGAATCAGGCTAATCACAACTGAATCATGCCAGGGGACCTGGCAGACCAGATTCAATGCATTGGCTCCGTGGAAGCATCCTGCGCCATTGCAAGGGCTGGCCAAGCCTGACATAAAGGATGCAAGTAATCTACCTTGATGAGCACTACCTTGACAAATTTTACTGTGGTTACTGTAGTAAATGTGTCGTCTTCTCATCTTGCTTCATACAGTCACTACATGATAGCACTAGTGCTAGTGCATATGGGGTCGTCTTAATTGAGAAGTTAGTCCGTGTGCCTGCTGGAGGGACGGATCCGAGTGGCAACTGGCGAACCTGGCAGATGTATGTCTGTTGTCCAACCAGAAAATCGGGAATTCAATATCACGTGACTAGAGCCCACTCCGCGAGCGGCCTTGGTCATTGCGTCATTGCTGAGATCCAATCAGCAGCGCAGAGGAATAGAGGGTGAGAGTCGAGACCCAATTAGGTATTGAAGGATTCTTCCACCCCCCCAAGTCTTTGTTGGCTGGTTTCACAAAATTCACATCAGGCTATCTCTGGATCATCTTTTCAATGGAATCGCATTGAATGAAGCCCTAGTCCGTACAAACAACTCTTTCGACTGAGACATGCGTATACTACTAGTGTCCTCGTCTGATAGACATTACTACTCAACTCTCAGAATCTGAATCCTGCAAGTTTGTGGTGGTACTTCTAGGGTGACTACGGGAGTTTCTACACACTAAAATGTTGTATGTAGAGAGGTACTTTGAAGAGTCAGGGTTGCAAAATCCAGGTGGGGCCGGGAACCTGGCCCATGAGTGGCAGGCCGCCAGTCCATGTGGGCCCATCTATCGCCCAGTGGCCACCCGGCTCCTCCGACACCCCAAAGGAAAATTCCTGTCGTCGTCACCGTGATCTCATCCAAGTTTTCCCTGCCCCATCTCCCCGTGATTTTCTCTCTATGCTGCTTCTGGGCTCTTGTGTGCTGGTTCTGGCTCATTTGATTTTACACTTTTCGAGTCATCTTTATCCCTGGATAGCAGGCAAGCATTCTTTTAACCTTTCTCCATATTACTCGACCAAACAGGGGAAGAAAGGAGGAAGAAAATTTAGAAGCAGTTTGCTTATCAAATTCCCCTGTTATCCAACCACCGCGTCTGGTGTGGCTCCGACGGGATTTCGTCATCCATATTGGTCGAGAGATATTGCTGGGGAGTCCACAGCACCACAGGTAAGGGCGATGATTTTTGGCTGCTACCATAACTATTCAGATTAGATTTCTTGTTATTCGTTTCCCTCTGGTCTTGGAATTTCATTAGTATTTTCTTTTCTTTTTCTTTTCTTTTTTTTATTATTATTTTTCCCTTTAATTTTGCTGGTCTCTTCCATCTCTCCCTCCATCAGTAGCAGATTGAAAAGGGAGAATCAGAGAGATCACATATTGAAAGAGAAATAATAATATTGAAAACTTAAAGAATAATAAGCAGAAAGAAGGAGAAGAAGAGGGATTGCTGGGATAACATAAACTGATTCGAGGTTGCAACCAGGAAGGACAACCACAGGCTTTTGTACTCATCCAGGGTTGCATGTTTCTGGCGTGACGGGGAACTATCTACCTGATAGCAGACTAGTCGGATGCTGACTAGTCGAAACGCTTAGCTCACCACCCTCGACCGCCTCCCCTCTTCTTCCATTCTTTTCTTCCACCCCCCTAAAATAAAATACTCCTTGTTGAACCGGACTACGTCACAACTCTTCTTCTCCCCTTGACACCTCGAAAAGTCACTACACACTAAGTACGTGCACTTTTGCCTTGGGTGTATGTATAGTACAGCACCAGGGAAAAGACGAAAGAAGAAGCAGAGACCAGACCAACGACAAAGCAAATTATCAACATATCCTTATCTTATTCTACTGTTCTATTTGAGCTACTTTTCTAACTGGTTCATCGCAAATTTGTTCTGTGTCGCCACCACGTCCACTCGCTTGTTTCCCGTCTTTTTCCCTTCCCTTACTATTCCTACCACAACCTTGGTCACTCGCGGCTCCCCTGCGCTCGCATAATATATTGTTTCCTCCTCCGGGTCTATGATGTCTGCTGCTGTCGCTTCATCTGTGCCCGCAAATCTACCGCATAGTACAAAAGCTCGTAATTCATCGCCAATGGATTCGAAGAAGAACGCGTTGGACGCTGGAGGTGAGTTGTATATCTGCTTTTTGTGTGTTATGGATATGAATCCTGGTACCTTTACACGAAACCTTCTGTCTATCCTCTGGTCTTCCCCTCCTTCCTGAAGTCTTGACTCTTTTTGGTCTGGCAATACGCCACTTCTTCCCCAGATACTGCGATCTGTTTTCCTGCCGTCGGGATGACCTCACACTTGGCGTCATCGATGGAGGGGATTTTCCTTATCAGATTCCGACCCTGTCAACCACGCGATGCAAAGAAAACACCCTTTACAACACCCACAACACGTTTGATCAAATCACCTTGCTGTCGCATCATCGTTACTGCAACCTTATTGCACTTCTACTGACCTGGGTTCTAATTGCGCACCCCAGATTCCAAGGCGCCTTCCGACACTAAGGACCAGAAGCCTGATGTCGACTCGCAAACCTCGCTGGCGCCTCCCCCACGACCTGCTGTAACTACTGCCACAGATACTCCAGATTACTTCAACTCGGTCCACAATCCCTTCTCTCTGGAGCCCAATCCCTTCGAACAATCATTTGGGGGTGGTTCCCAGAGCGAAACTCCGGGAAAGTCGTTACTACCCCCTGTAGCAGCGCTCACCTCACCTGCTTTGCCTGGCACCACTTCTACTGGTGGCTATAATTGGTCCAATTCGTTGCGCTCTGGGCCGTTGAGTCCTGCCATGCTTGCTGGACCAGCTGGTGGTAATGATTATTTCGACAGCATTGGCCGAGGTTTCCCAACTCCCAACGAGTCTTCTCTTCGCACCGGTCTAACTCCAGGTGGGGGGGGTTCTATGTTTCCTGCGCCGAGTCCGAACTCCCAGGCGATTCTGCAGCAACTACAGAGTGGCGGTGCGACTCCCTCCACAATTGAATTCCATCGTACTGCATTGAACGCTGCCAAAAAGAACGGCTTGAGTGGTCCTACTTCCAATCCCACAGCCGATTCTGAGGGAGTCCACAGTGTGAGCATGGATATCAAGAGCAGTCAGCCTGCCAGCGTGGACCCTTTCACGCATCACGATGCAGCAGATGCAGCCAACGGGTTGTTCATGTTGGCCAAGGGCGGACAAGCCAATCAATTCGTCTCCAACCAATCGTCTGTTCCACCTCATACTATTCCGGGTAGCAATCAATCGCGTGATGCAGACAGGCGTGGATCTCAAAATATCAATGGCTCCGTAGCCAGTAGTAGAGAGATGAGTGGTGATGCATCTGACATGCAGGCAGAACAGGCAAAGCCTTCCGCCAGAGGGAAAGGGAAGAAGAATACTGCCACGAAAACAGGCAATACAGCCAACAACAGACGCAAAGCAGACGATACACCCGCCAAGGGTCCGAACAAGAAGGCCAAGATGAGTATTAGCTCCGGCAGCGCCGAGCCCCCCTCCGAAGCTGGCGACTCCGAGGATGAAGATGACACGAAGAAGAAATCTCAAACCGACACGAAGAAGATGACGGACGAAGAGAAGAGGAGAAATTTCTTGGAGAGGAACCGGTACGCTCTTGACTGTTGCAGGACTCCCCAGGCAACACTGATTTGATACTAATATAATCTGGCTAGGGTCGCGGCTCTGAAATGTCGTCAACGCAAGAAACAGTGGCTTGCCAATCTTCAGGCGAAGGTTGAGCTATTTACTACGGAGAATGACGCGCTCACCGCCACTGTCACGCAGCTTCGCGAGGAAATTGTCAACCTTAAGACCCTGTTGCTTGCTCACAAGGACTGTCCCGTTTCTCAAGCACAGGGACTAGGTCCTCTCATGATGAATGGAATGTCGACAGGATTCGACCCTCATCCGTACAACATCGCAAACAACATGGGTATGCAGCCAGGTGCACCTATCCCTACTCAGGGTATGCGACGATGATAATGTGATTTCGCCCCCTTCATGATCTTTAATTGACGCCTGATCATGATTATGACATCTAAAAATTCGATCTCTGCTCGACAGTGTACAGGCCGCTTGGGTCTAGACGGAGATACGGTGTTTCTCACTTTAGCTTTTTCGCCCCTACGCGGGCTCTTACATTTCGATTTCTCGGCTGCGACTTTCCCGCGGACCTATGGCATGGGCCGGTGTTTATGATGTGTACGAACTTCAAAATTGACGGGAAGATCCAGCTGGTGCGACGGACTTTGATTGCACTCTCGGAAGGTGCAGTTTGGGGCGCAAAAGATTTTTTGGCGGTTTGATTCGTTTCTTTCTCCTGTCTGTCTTCTTATCTCGAATCCTTTTTTTCTCTAACTCCAAGCCTCGGGTTGCATTTGTGGCTCTCAGGGCTCGGGCAGTGTAGTATCTCTGTACTCTTGCCTTCCTTTTTTCGTTCATCACCGGGGAGTATTTTTACTTGTTTTTTATGTCCATGGGGGCACTGGTGTTTCCTGCCGTTATTCTCAGTTTTAATCGGGCGGCGTTGGAGGCTCAGGTTTGTTCTGGTGTCTTGATGACTTCCTGCGCGTATGGTGTCTTAGGCATTGTGAATGAAACGCGATTCAGGTCATACAGGTTTCAGTTTGTAAATTGGATCATCGTCGTCGGTGTATAATCCTTCGAGAAGCCTAAACTGCGTCGAGGATTATCCCTTAAAGTGTTACGTAGCCGTTTTCCCTATAATGAATGCATTAGGCACCTAACCAAGAACTCCGTACCTTACTGACGTCTGCCGGTCTTGGCGTGTCCAAATTGATACAGATAACTCCAGACAAACAAAAATATCCCAGCCTTAATGAGCCCTTTTGCTATGAGAATTGAAGCTGTCCCTCCAAGTGGATGAGGTAATCTATCGGAGTACTTTCTCAACTCAATTCCCCAGGATGCACTGTGGCACTTCGGAAACTCTCCTTGACGTCGAGACACTGATCAACAAACTCCCCACCTTCGCGTTTTCCTTCACCCGTGTCACGTACGGGTCGACTCGAGCAACGCGGCATTGAAAAACAGAAGTCCTCGAGAAAGCCAGCAAATTGAGGACAGGCGGCATTTCAGAAGGCAGAATCCGCGAACGGCGGCCCAGACAATGTCTTCGCGTCAACCCGCGCGCCCGCGTCGCATCGAAGATGCCCTTTCTCAACTTGTTGATTCCCTAACTCCACCTATTTCCCTCTCAGAGATCGGCGATACAGTCTCCGAAGACGCAGACGAGCTACTTGCTGAAGCAGAAGAACGCCGACACCACGAGAACCTCGAACGTGCATGGCGCATCATCGACACATACACCAGCTCTGGAAATGACCATGCCTCGCCAGCTGACGGCCCGGGCCTGGGCATCAGTCGCAGAGGTAGTTTAGCAGGAGGGGAGAACATCAATAACGCGTCGGACCTTATCAAGCGGAAGCTTCTCCGGGAGAATGCGAGCCCCGACAAAGCTGTGCGGTTCTCAAACTTGTATTCGCGCTTGCTGACGCAGCCGGTTCTGTCGCAGAAATGGGCGATCCTGTACTTGCTATATCGGTTGTCGGGCTCGGATCCCCAGCTCGAGACTGCGGATGAGAATGGGAGGAGTCGGAGTCCGCTTATGGATGCGGGGAATCTGCAGAATATGATGTTGAAAAGTGGTCATCAGAGAGTAAGGCATGGCCAGGGCCCAAGATTGGAGGGGGATTCGGACGAGGACGGCCCGGCTGTCAGTTCTTCTGCTTCGCAGATTCCAGCGAAGATGGAGCGGAAGGCCTCCGTGCGGCGGCAGGAGTGGGAGAAGGAAAAGGATATCGACCAGGAACACGGCCATGTCACAGCTGACAGAGTTAAAGGAGGTCGAATGGCTCGCGGCGCACACGATGCTGCGCCTAAAGATAGCCGCCCTGTGGACGATCAGAAGGCATCGTTTCAAACCCAGTCATTTTCAGATAACTTCGAAAAGCGGCCTCATGAGAGCGGACTTTTACGTGATTTACCGTACAACTTGCAAGGATTGTCGTCTTCAAATTTGGAATTCTCGTCATCTTCTGTTCTAAAACTACCACCGACTCTTCCCATACCCGTCTTATCTCTCCTGAACACCTTGGCTGAGCCGTGTCTGCTATACAAAGGTCTGTCGAAATATGTGGAGGATTCTGGAAGCGGCTTGCTCACCCAGAGCTTGCGGGCTGCTCTTTCAAACGAGCTCCGTTCCTACCTGGGTCTTGTAGCAACCTTGGAAGGGGAGATTCGAAGGGCGCTGGCCGCTAGCGGAGATCCCTATCAGTCCAAGGAATCGTCCAAGGGGTTGGTAACGTTGAAGCGTTGTGTAGTATGGACAAGAGACGCGACAATGGCGTTACGGTTGATGAGTTTGATAGTTGAGGAGGCTCGGAGTAAGTGTGATTTCCCCTCGGCTGTGTTTTTTAGTCTTTCCATCGAGCTAACGGCGCTCCAGGCAAAAAGGGTGGTCAATTGATATCCTTGATTCACGGGTTCTCGACATCTCACGGCGACCCTTTTGTTAGTACCTTTGCGGAGAAGCTGCTCTCGCACGTTACACGCCCGTTTTACGATATGCTGCGACTGTGGATCTATGATGGTGAGCTTTCAGATCCGTACCAGGAGTTTTTTGTCGTGGAACCAGAATTCAGACCGAACACGGATCCACGACGCCTTGCGACCAGTGTCTGGGAAGACAAATATAAACTGGATGACGAGATGGTACCGTCAATCATCACGCAGGACTTTGCGAAGAAAGTGTTTCTTATCGGCAAATCGTTGAATTTCATCAGATACGGATGCGGGGACTCTGGATGGGTTGAGGCATACTCTAAAGAAGCGTCCAAAGAATTGCACTATGGTGATACGGCTAGCCTCGAGGCATCAATCGATGAAGCCTACAAAACAACTATGGCGCGACTCATCTATCTCATGGACGAAAAGTTCAAGCTGTTCGACCACTTGCATGCGCTCAAGAAGTATCTGCTACTGGGCCAGGGCGACTTCATCGCCTTGCTCATGGAATCTCTGGCATCGAACCTCGATCGGCCTGCCAATTCACAATATAGGCATACTCTCACCGCGCAGCTGGAGCATGCCATTCGTGCTTCCAACGCGCAATACGACCCGCCCGACGTACTCCGCCGTTTGGATGCCCGTATGCTGGAGCTCAGTCACGGCGAGATAGGATGGGACTGCTTTACTCTCGAATACAAGATAGATGCCCCTGTTGACGTTGTTATCACGCCCTGGGGCTCGACTCAATATCTGAAGGTGTTCAATTTCCTGTGGCGAGTTAAGCGCGTCGAATTTGCCCTGGGCAGCACTTGGCGGCGATGTATGACTGGCGCTCGCGGAGTCTTAGGAAGCGTCAGCGACAAAGTTGGAGCTGACTGGAAACGGGCAAGGTGCGTCATCGCAGAAATGATTCATTTTGTTTGCCAGCTCCAGTACTACATCCTCTTTGAAGTCATTGAGGCCAGTTGGGATCAATTGCAGGCAGCCATATCCAAGCCAGGGTGTACGCTTGACGATTTGATTGAAGCACATACCAAATATCTCAACTCTATCACGCACAAGGGTCTGTTAGGCTCGACATCATCCCGCACCGCATCCGGTCACAAACAAGAAGAGGGCTTCTTGACCCAGCTCCATCAAATATTGAAGATCATGCTGGCGTACAAGGATGCCGTTGATGGACTCTATTCGTTCTCGGTGGCAGAATTTACCCGAAGACAAGAGCTCAGTGCTAAAATAGAAACGCGCACTGCTCAGGGGCGCTGGGGCATTACTGAGCGCGATCTCCTATCTTCCCGGCATCCACAAGGGCATAAGAACTCATTATCGTCATTCCCCCCATCACTGGCCCAAACTCCAACTGTCGGAGTCGATGGCAATGGGTTCGATACCCCGTCATCCCTCGCCGGCCAAGAGCTTTCTGCAGACGACCACATGCTGGCGTCACTTCGCACACGCCTGCGCGAGCTCTCTGCGGAGTTCCGCTCCAGACTGAACGTACTACTGGGCGACCTAGCCTACCAACCTGATGTCGACATGCGCTTCCTTGGAGTCGTCATGAACTTCAACGATGTCTATGAACCAGTCCGGAGAAGGAGGACAGCAACGACCAGCACCAAGGACAAGGAGCGGGCAAGACGAAAGGCTGCAGCATCTACCGCGCCTGGAGGCAGTGGCGAGGCCGGGACCCAAAAGGATGCCAGAAGGGAAAGGAAGGACACCTCAGGAGCTGAGCATAGCGGTAATGGAAGTGGAACTGGGCCATGATTTCAATTCGTGACATTTTTGCGCACATGGGTTTAGATGTAGGGAGTCGGACATTCGTCGGAGTCGGGAAATGGGCCTCATGATAACGCGAGATGAATATACGGTTTCCCAAGGATATAGAACTTTAACATTATGTTGACTTATTGAACGAATATGTAAATGTCACTCATATTGCTGGTACAGAATACTCGAAACATCTCTCTCCAAGGCCAGTCGCTTATCAGTGGCCCGATAAGCGGACGCTATGTTGCAGACTCCGCAACTCACGTGGAAAATTTTCCAGAGCTTCATGAATTCACCAAGATCGATATACCTTTCACCGAGGACTAATTTCCGGATAATTTACTCTTACTGCATTTGAAATATCTCCAATCAAGCGTGCAATCTACTCAACTTTCCAATTCTAGCTGACGTCCCGGAGAATACCGCTTACGCTCCCCATGTCGAGCGAGGAACCTGCGCAGTCGTCGCATGTGTCGGCGTCGAAAAAGGCAGGCCGCAAGCTCAAGCGCGTGAAGGATATGCCTGCAGTGAAAGACGGTGAGGACAAGGAGGTTGATAAGAAGGACAAGAAAACCAAGGACAAGAAGAAAAAGAGCAAATCTAGCGATGGGCAGGGCACTGAGGATGCCGCAGTGACGGGCGAGACGGGCGAGAAGAAGCAGAAGCAGAAAGAGGAGAAGAGCAAGAAGAGACGGCTTGATGACGAGAATGACGGGGAGGAGAAGGCGGCTGCCGAGCCGGAATCTGAGTCTCAGCAGCGGCGCAAGAAGAAGAAGAAGAGGGTGTCTTTTTCGGCGGATACGGTGATGCAGGACGGTGAGGAGAGCGAGAGTGAGAGCCATCCAGAAGTTAAGGATGATTCGAAAATCAATGGGGATGCTGAAGAGGGTCAGGCTGTTCCTGCTACAGAGGAACAGGTTGACGCGGATGACGAGGGCGAGAAGAAAAAGAAGAAGAAGGAGAAGAAGAAAAAGAAGAAGGATCAGTCTGTTACGACTGCTTCGAACGCTACAACGACGTCTCACGAGTCTCCTATTCTTTCGTATCTCAATCTATACCACCAGCACCGATCTGTTTGGAAATTCCAGAAGAACCGCGAGACGCATCTATTCAAACACCTCCTGTCTTTGGAACATGTTCCTGCGAAATACAACGCCGCACTTCTTTCTTACCTTAAGGGATTGAAAAGCGAGGGTGCCAAGCAACGGCTACAACAGGTTGCTGAGGAGGTCGTGAAAGCTGAAATGGAAGAGGATTTGGCGAAAGAGCAAGCAGCGGAGACGGACGACAAGGCCGAGTCTGATATGACAGGCTACAACAAGGCCGTGGAGGCTTTTAGAACACGCTTGTCGCAAGGCAAAGACGATTTTGACGAGATTGAGACACCTGACTCGCTTGACGGAGAAGGGCTGGCGAAGCTTCAGAGACGGCAGCGAGCGGAGCTCGTGCTGTTCGCTGTCAGTGGAAAGTTGTTCTACCTCGAGAAAACAAAAGCGAAGCGGGGCCCGAGCACCCAGGCTCCGTCTGCTAAAAAGAAGAAGAAGAACCGGACCGCTTTCGTGGAAATCTCGAGCAGCAGTGAAAGCGAGAGTTCTAGTGACAGCGAAAGCGACAACGAGAAGAAGCCCAAACTGGCCCCAAAGCCGAAGAAAGACAGCTCTACTGAAAGCTCATCGGCCGATTCGAGCAGCGACAGTGATGACAACGGCAGCCACAAAAAGAAAGTTACAAAAAAGAAGGGAGCCAGCTCAAGTGAAAGTGCCAGCGACTCGTCGTCGGACTCAAGCAGTGACAGTGACTGATAGTATACGTTCAATGGCTCTGACCCTCCTCGATCTCTTGATGTCTTCCGCGGCTCCTTCGACCAGCATATATAGTCCAAGGTCACATTTTACCCAGTATAAAACTTTACAGTATGGGGGACACTAGTATCTCATGTATAGCATTGTCGTATGCATTGTGTATAGTCAAAGCTGGTACCGGGCTGGATTTGTACGGAGTTCTTCAGGTTACGTGGTGATCTCTCAGATTTTGTATTTAAGGCTTAAGGTATTTCAGGCCTAGAATCCTATGAGAGTGAAATATTATTGGATTCACTAGTCAATCGAAAAGTAAGCGTAAGCATACCTATATCAACAGAGTACCAGGTCTATGGATGTGAGACTTGTTGTAGGATACGTAAAGGCGGTGACGGTGAAGCTTACTCAATCGGACTCAGAAGCTTGGAGCTTCGGCCAGGCACCTTCAAGCACGCGTACGTTGGAGACTCGCTGTCCTTCATCCTCCAGTCCTCTTCCTTTCAATCCCAATCTCTACCTCCTTAGAGTCATATATCTCACTGTTTTCTGTTTTCTTTTCTTGAGGAATAATATCGCACACCGCAATCATGTCTGGTAAGCTCCTTGGCTTCTCCATCTGAGTTGACCTCCATGACTTCATCAGAGCTGACATCCTCTTCCGAACAGGGAGCGCTGGATATGACAGACACATCACCATTTTCTCAGACCAAGGTCGTCTGTACCAAGTCGGTATGTACATTTTTTGAGGGCACCCTAGTTTTCTCCAGTTCGCGGTCCCGGCCCTCATGGGGGATATTGCCGCAAACGCTATCATCGCTCGGCTAAACAACGCTGATTGTTGAAAATTAGAATATGCCTTCAAGGCCATTACAGCCGCAAATATCACCTCAATCGGTGTGAGGGGGAAGAACTGCGCAGTGGTATTGTCTCAGAAGAAAGTCGCTGTAGGTTGCTTCACCTCAATTGACAGGGATACTGCGACAATCTAATCGAATTATTAAAGGATAAACTGATTGACCCGTCGTCCGTTTCGCACATTTTTCGGCTTTCTCCCTCCGTCGGTTGTGTCATGACTGGTTCTATTGCTGATGCCAGAGCTTCTGTCGACCGTGCTCGCGGAGAGGCGGCTGAATTCCGATACAAATATGGCTACGAAATGCCTTGCGACGTCCTTGCAAAAAGACTTGCCAACATCAATCAAGTGTACACACAAAGGGTTGGTATTTTCTTTGGCTTCCTTAGTGGATGTCGAGTCGCAGGCTAACAAGGATAATACCTGCAGGCTTACATGCGTCCGCTAGGCGTTGCCATGACTCTGATTTCAGTTGACGACGAGAAAGGCCCACAACTTTACAAATGTGATCCCGCAGGATACTATGTCGGGTACAAGGCCACTGCATCCGGTCCCAAGCAGCAGGAGGCGCTCAATTACTTGGAGAAGAAACTGAAGAACAAGGATTATGCTGAGGGTAGTTGGGAGGAGGTGGTCGAGCTCGGTATCACGGCCTTGAGCAACGTGTTGAGCGTCGACTTCAAGAAGCACGAATTGGAGATTGGTATCGTCGGTGGTCCTCGAGCAGACGGCAAGGAGGGAACAGATCCTGCGTTCCGTGCCTTGACGGAAGACGAGATTGACGAGCGGCTACAGGCCATCAGCGAGAAGGATTGATTTGGTAAAGGAGGATCCACGTTGCTAGATGCAGACGACATAACAATGCCACTCCTTTGATGCTCTGTGCGCTGTCTCATTCATCCTTACTGCTGATATTCTTGGAGCGCCTTGTTCCATGCGAGTCCTTGATTTAGAAAAGGGGGTCACATCATCGTCCGCTGTCCTCCACATCGGTGGCAACTTCAAAGTACGGGCACAATGACTGTGATAAAAGACTTCTGCTATATGACAGGCTCGGATCGAGGGCGCTATGGACTGCAGCATGCGAGAGCTGCGTTTCGACTGTGCCGAACTCGCTTCGCTAGGCGTTACAGTAACCAGATGTAGTTGACGTAAAGCAGCGTCTGGGATGAACCTACGCAGACATCCTTGTCAACTGTCCACTACGATCTATAGTTCGTTAAAAGGGGATGTTACTCCTGCTAAATTCGCCACAAGTGGATCGTGAGTTCAGGTCTCTGGGGCCTCAGGCACTAAGGTACCACCTATCACTTTTCCCCTTTCAGCTGCAATTGCTCTTTTCGCGCTGCGGCCGACGTGTGGCTGAGCTGCGTGGTGTGGCTTGACGCTCGTCGTTATGCCTGCCAAAATTGTATCTTCTTCGTCAACCATCTTCTTGTTAACAGCTGCTTTACTTTTGTAGAGTCGCAGGAGAGCACATTCCCAATCGGCATGTGGCGGAGATATTTGCCTGTGCCATCCAGCTGGAATGTGTTCTGCACTTGTCTTGACTTTCGAATTGCGACTGACTCGATGACTTGTCGTGCCAGTTTCGGACGAACCACAACACTAGCTCTCTAACCAACGTCCCCACCCTACTTAAGATGCATACACTACGGCCCTTTGTACCGTTACTCCGATATCCAGCTGCGAGACACCATGGTGGATCAGCATTCCGCTGACTCGGTTGTGACACATGAGAAAACGGGATGAATTGGCCACTAACCATTGACCATTCGATATCCATTATTCTGCGGAGTGGTTCTCTGTCCTAATTTATCAATTGTTTACTTTTTTCCATTTCCCCCCCCTGCTCCAACGCTCTGCTGCATACTAAATTCGTCTTTTCCGAGCAGGAGCCTAGCTTAGTCTTGCGCTTAGGGCTTCTTTTCCAGGCTTCGGGATACGACAATGAAAAGGTCTATGTGGATGCTCGGATGCATGGCTATTCATGGGCCTTTGCTTGCTCTAGATCCACTATTGTGGTCATCGCCCAGCTGTGCTGACGAGCTGTGATATTCTAAACTGCTCTTCCCAGCAGTGATTGGTGCAGCCAGCCACGGCTAGTAGTATGTCTTTGTGTAGAGATTCTGTCCTCCCTGCGTCTCCAGCTATACGGTTCTGAGCTGGTATACTGAGCAATTGATCAATGGAGGATCAAGCTTAAAAGGAAACCCGCCCTTGACCACGGGGCGAGACTTTGTAGATGAAACCATATTGAGCACGAACAGGTTTGTTCTCTTGTTTGTTTGCCTTTACCTTTCTGCTCTTCTGCTTTTGCAGTCTTGTCGTTGCTTCTTCCCCTC